AGTGACGTTATGTTTGTAGATGACATGTGTCTGTTTCTCTGATACTGTAACCTTATGTTTGTAGATGACATGTGTCTGTTCCCTCTGATACAGTGACGTTATGTTTGTAGATGACATGTTTCTGTTCCCCCTGTTACTGTAACCTTATGTTTGTAGATGACATGTGGCTGTTCCCTCTGTTGCTTTAACATTATGTTTGTAGATGACATGTGTCTGTTCCCTCTGATACTGTAACCTTATGTTTGTAGATGACATGTGTCTGTTCCCTCTGATACTGTGACCTTATGTTTGTAGATGGCATGTGTCTGTTCCCTCTGATACTTTAAACTTATATGTTTGTAGATGACCTGTGGCTGTTTCCTCTGATACTGTAACCTTATGTTTGTAGATGACATGTGTCTGTTCCCTCTGATACTGTAAACTTATATGTTTTTAGATGACATGTGTCTGTTCCCTCTGATACTGTACCCTTATGTTTGTAGATGACATGTGTCTGTTCCCTCTGATACTGTGACCTTATGTTTGTAGATGACATGTATCTGTTCCCTCTGATACTGTGACATTATGTTTGTAGATGACAATTGTGTCTGTTCCCTCTGATACTGTGACGTTATGTTTGTAGATGACATGTGTCTGTTCCCTCTGATACTGTAACCTTATGTTTGTAGATGACATGTGTCTGTTCCCTCTGATACTGTAACCTTCTGTTTGTAGATGACATGCCCTTGAACGCTAAGCTTTTTATGGAGGAACCTGCAGCCATGGATATCTACATGTCTTGTATACAGGTTTGTGTTTGGTCATTTACTGCTTTGCTAGAGTCTACAAAGTCTTACCTAGCTAGCTAGTAGTCTCCAAGTGTTACCCAAAGTCGAAGATCTTGGCCAAATTCAAGAAGGATATAAAGACCTACCTCTTCACATCAGCATTTTAGGTTATTTGAACAGATGTCATGTACATAATACCCTTTATATAATCTTTTGATTATCTTACTCAATGTATAATTGTGTTTTGTAATATTTTCCATATGTTAATGTTAGAGTAATTTTATATAAATGTTGTATATTATTATTATTAGCTCAACTGGTCCGAAGGACCAAGGTGAGCTTATGCGATACTGTGGCGTCCGTTGTCCGTCCGTCGTCTGTACGCCAACAATTACTTTGAACGACTTCTTCTTCTTAAATACTGATTGGAATATGACTAAATTTGACTGGAAGCATCCCTAGGTGGTGGAGATTCAAAATTGTACAAATGGTGTGGCTGACGCCCCATGGGGCTGAAGGGCAGGGCCAAAAGGGGGCAATTTGGCTATATAATGCTTTAAGCGACTTCTTCTCTGGAACTAAGAGATGGATATCAACCATATTTGACTGGAAGCATTCCTAGAGGGTGGGGATTTAAAATTGTACAAATGGTGGGGCTGAGGGGCGGGGCCAAAAGGGGGCAATTTGGCTATATTGCTTTAAGCGACTTCTTCTCTGGAACTATTGGATGGATATCAACCATATTTGACTGAAAGCATCCCTAGGTGGTGGGGATTCAAAATTGTACAAATGGTGGGGCTGACACCCCATGGGGCTGAAGGGCGGGGCCAAAAGGGGGCAATTTGGCTATATATTGCTTTAAGCGACTTCTTCTCTTGAACTATTGGATGGAGATCAACCATATTTGACTGAAAGCATCCCTAGGCGATGGGGATTCAAAATTGTACAAATAGTAGGGCTGATCCCCAGGGGGCTGAGGGGCGGGGCCAAAAGGGGTCAATTTGGCTAAATTGCTTTAAGCGACTTCTTCTCTTGAACTATTGGATGGAGATCAACCATATTTGACTGAAAGCATCCCTAGGCGATGGGGATTCAAAATTGTACAAAGAGTAGGGCTGACCCCCAGGGGGCTGAGTGGCGGGGCCCAAAGGGGGCAATTTGGCTATATAATGCTTTAAGCGACTTCTTCTCTGGAGCTATTGGATGGATATCAACCATATTTGACTGGAAGTATCCCTAGGAGGTGGGGATTCAAAATTGTACAAAGAGTAGGGCTGACCCCCAGGGGGCTGAGTGGCGGGGCCCAAAGGGGGCAATTTGGCTATATAATGCTTTAAGCGACTTCTTCTCTGGAGCTATTGGATGGATATCAACCATATTTGACTGAAAGCATCCCTAGGTGGTGTGGATTCAAAATTGTACAAATGGTGGGGCAGACACCCCATGGGGCTGAAGGGCGGGGCCAAAAGGAGGCAATTTGGCTATATATTGCTTTAAGCGACTTCTTTTCTGGAACTAAGAGATGGATATCAACCATATTTGACTGGAAGCATCCCTAGGTGGTGGGGTTTCAAAATTGTACAAATGGTGGGGCAGACACCCCATGGGGCTGAAGGGAGGGGCCAAAAGGGGGCAATTTGGCTATATAATGCTTTAAGCGACTTCTTCTCTGGAACTATTGGATGGATATCACCCATATTTGACTGAAAGCATCCCTAGGTGGTGGTGATTCAAAATTGTACAAATAGTAGGGCTGACCCCCAGGGGTCTGAGTGGCGGGGCCAAAAGGGGGCAATTTGGCTATATAATGCTTTAAGCGACTTCTTCTCTGGAGCTATTGGATGGATATCAACCATATTTGACAGGAAGCATCCCTAGGTGGTGGGGTTTCAAAATTGTACAAATGGTGGGGCAGACACCCCATGGGGCTGAAGGGCGGGGCCAAAAGGGGGCAATTTGGCTATATTGCTTTAAGCGACTTCTTTTTAGGAACAAATAGATGGATATCAACCATATTTGACTGGAAGTATCCCTAGGTGGTGGGGATTCAAAATTGTACAAATGGTGGGGCTGACCCTGCAGAAGGCTGAGGGCAGGGCAAAAAGCAGGCAATTTGGCTATATTGCTATAAACGACTTCTTCTGTAGAACTGTGCCATGGATATCGACCATATTTGGTCGGAAGCATTCATGGGAGGTAAGGATTCGAAATTGTACAAATTTGTTGCTGACCCCCCGGGCTAAGGGGTGGGGCCTAAAAAAGTTTATTACTTGGAAATGGTTGAGAACCCCACCGTATAACCATATATACAATTGCTGAGTATAAAGAGAAGAATGCACAGTTGCTTCCAAGATGGTCCTAGGGTCTGGCCCCACCCTTGGAGGCATAGTCCCTTGGTCATAACTTTGAAACGGTTGAGATCCCCTCCCCAAAACTAGATATACAAATGCTGGGCATAAAGAGACGAATGCAGTCATGATATTAGAATAGACCCTGGGGTCTGACCGAACCCCTAGGGACCTAGTTTCTTAGTCAGAGCTTGGAAACAGTTGAGATCCCCACCCAAAAACCATATATACAATTGCTGAGTATAACGAAATGAATGCACATATGCTTCCAGGATGGCCTTGGGGTCTGCCCCAGCCTTGGAGACTTAACCCCTGGGTCATAACTTCAAAATGGTTAAGATCCCCACCCCAAAACTATAAATACAAATGCTGGGCAAAAAGAGACGAATGCAGTCATGATATTAGAATTGATCCTGGGGTCTGGCCACAACCTATGGACCTAGTTTCTGAGTCACAGCTTGAAAATAGTTGAGATTCCCACCCAATAACCGTATATAAAATTGCTGGGCATGAAAAATTTAATACAGATATGCTACAAGGATTGGCCTTAGGGTCTGGTATATATTCCCTTGGATCTCATTTGGTGAATATTTTGCCATGATTGCTTAGATATCCAGGTGAGCGATACAGGCCCTCTGGGCATCTTGTTATTGAGAGGAAGCTTTCGAGTCTCCACCTGTCAACCATTGTGAGGTAGCTAGCTAGTCTAGTTGTGTCAACCATTGTGAGGTAGCTAGCTAGTCTCCATGTGTCAACCATTGTGAGGTAGCTAGCTAGTCTATTTGTGTTACCCATTGTGAGGTAGCTAGCTAGTCTTTTTGTGTTACCCATTGTGAGGTAGCTAGCTAGTCTATTTGTGTTACCCATTGTGAGGTAG